GTCCAGAAGACCTATACAATTTTCTTCTTTTTGATTTTTTACCTGGATTACTGAGATGCATCAGGACGTCCTATTCAATAGCTACCTCAAAGTACATGAAATGTGTTGCAATGATTCTAAACTTAGTAAGACACTTAATTAAAAAAAACAAATATTTCATGTGCACTAACATACAACCACATGATTTAACAAGTAAAATTATAATTTTCAGTGCAGTATTTCTACATTTTTTACAAAGCAGAACAGGTAAGAGATGGATTTTACAGCATGGGTTCAATAAGTAACACTGATGTCGTTAAACTTCAAACAACCTACGAAGAACTTTGGTTTTTCCAAGGAATTAAATTACATCAGAGTTGCTACAGTCAAACAGCAGAACATGAACTAAATGCTAAAGGAAACAAAGCCATAAAAAAGAAAAAAAAATTCAAATAAAACTGAAAAGATTATAGCTGTGAGGGGGGGAAATGGAATTAAAATGAAATCATTTGATGCATTAATCTTATATAGTGCTTTTCTAGACACTCAAGGATACTTTACAAGTTTTCATGCATTATTCATTCACACATTCACACACTGATGGTGGTAAGCTACATTGTAGCCACAGCTGCCCTGAGGCACTCTGACAGAGGCGATGCTGCCATGCAACGGTGCCACTGGACCCTCTGACCACTGTAATGGAACTAATACTTTTATGTTTAAGTAAATAATTCATGACATCCTTTAATGACCTAGGTTTTCATGACATGCAGTTCATCTGCAGACAGAATGATTAAAGTCAGAACAAGATTTGCTAACAACAGTCATTCTTAGATATCACTTGTGTTTATCTTTGTGTTTTCCATTGAMCTTGTATCAAATYTTGCTAAGATGACATWAYGGTGTTTGTTAATATATATATGAGGCCTCTCGAAACACAGTGTTCAACAGTGGACAACAGAAGTGTGGAGAGACAGTGACAGAGAGAAGCAGAGGCACAGAGACAGGRCAGGTTGTTCTCTGTGTTTCCTGTTGTTGCAATAAAACTCAGCTGATCATCTCACAGAGTACCTTCATTCTTGGACCACGTATTTCTGTCTTTGTTAAATAAATATTGCCATAACACCACCATCAGTAGGTAAGGAGGGTGAAGTGTCTTGCCCAAGAACACAACAACTGAGACAGACAGAATGGGGGATCCAACTGTGAACCCACTGGTTACAGGACGACTCCCCCAACCACTCTGCCGCAGCCACCTAAAATATAAAAGAATGAGTTTTGATTTATAAATTGTTAAAATAAAATTAAGATCAAAATGTTTATAAAAATGTAAATTTTCTGTGGAATATTTTTTATCTACAGTTTCAGGTCCATCGTTAGTATGACATTTTTAGTATTAATATGTTTCAAGTTTTCGCGTATCTTTTTTAATGGGCTACATCTGTTTTAGAATCCCTCAGAGGTGCCAGGGTTTTAGTCACAGGGGCCAGCAAAGGCATCGGTGAACAAATGGCGTACCATTATGGCCGCTTTGGAGCCAAGATTGTGATCACAGGTAGAAGAGAGAAAGCCTTACAGCAGGTGAGTTCATAATCAACATTTTGTGGAGCTCACTGTCAAAGATGCCTGTGTTTATGTTCGTTCATCTGTTGTGCTAGCAAAATATCTCCTGAACCACTGGATAGACGAATTAAAGTAATCAGCAAGTGAACATCTGCAACCTTTGTAGTCAATTCAAGATGGTGCCTCAACACGTATTCTGAACGCTAACACATCAAAATATACACTAATATTAGAGCTGCAACGAAAATTCATGATTAGGATCAGTTCAATGCTTTAGTCTCACGGTTCAATATTTTTTGTTAAGAAAAAGTTTCCATGCCCATCTTAACT